ATGGCTCACAACTATGTAAAACTCCAGTCCTGGGGGATTTGACAACCTCTTTGGCCTTCTAGGGCATCACACACACATGGTGCACAGACATGCATACAGGCAAAATATCCATACACACAGAACAATACAATAATAATTTAATAATAATTATTATTGAAGAGCACCTGCTGCTTTTGCAGAGAACAAAGCAGGTTCCCAACACCATGACAGACCATCTACAGCCTGTCACCATCTACAGCCTGTCACCATCTACAGCCTATCACCATCTACAGCCTGTCACCACTTACAGCCTGTCACTATCTACAGCCTGTCACCATCTACAGTCTGTCACCACTTACAGCCTGTCACTATCTACAGCCTGTCACCATCTACAGCCTGTCACCATTTACAGCCTGTCAGTAGCCATCTAGGAAAAGCTAAAACTAGCAGGTGATCTTCTTAAGATGGTTTCTCCATGGACTGAAAATCTATGATGAATTTGCTTCTTTAAGCAAGACTGAGGAGATTACATCTGAGGAAAGATTCCAGATATTAACATGCTTTTCCTGTTATTGTAGCGCCGGGTGGTGGTGGCGCACGCCTTTAATCCCAGCACTTGGGAGGCAGAGGCAGGAGGATTTCTGAGTTAAAGACCAGCCTGGTCTACAGAGTGAGTTCCAGGACAGCCAGGACTATACAGAGAAACCCTGTCTTGAAAAAATATATATATATGTAGCAATCACTAGGTATTAGCCCACCCTTTTGAATAGATCTCTGCAGAACAAGGAAAATGTACTGTCTTGTAGTGATGCTATATAAATAGATGATTTCTTTCTTTCTCTCTTCCTTCCTTCCTTTCTTTCTTTTAGGTTTTTCGAGACAGGGTTTCTCTGTGTAGCGGTGGCTGTCCTGGAACTCACTCTGTAGACCAGGCTGGCCTCGAACTCAGAAATCTGCCTGCCTCTGCCTTTCAAGTGTTGGGATTAAAGGCGTGCACCACCACTGCCCAGCAAATAGATGATTTCTTAATTCTAAGTGATAAATTCCTAAAATTATATTAGTAATTATTAAGATCTTTTATAATAGGACTGCTATTAAGTCCTCTCTGATAATCAAAGCTGCAGTGAGAACCGTGACAGTCTTCAAGTGTCATGAGTTAACTGCTTCTGAGATAGCAAGCAGGGATCTACAACTCACAGAGCACGTTCCAAGAGGTTGTAAAACAATTTACCAAAGGTCACAAGAAGGAAACCAATGATTTAGTATAGGTGCAAGGACAGAAGATAACATATTGGCTGGGTTTATCTATACAAAATTTCGATAATGCCTTAGTCGAAAAAATTACGGTTTTTAACTTTCAATTAAACTTTTGAGCTTGTGACAGATAATGAATGTTTAGCTAGATAATTACTCTTAGTGGATATGCATGTAAACATTCTCTGTTGTAAACTTCTTATTCAATTTATGATTTGAATTTATATTTGAACTTGTAGTGAACTTTTGTAAAAAAAAAGAGAAAGGAAGAAAGAAAGAAAGAAAGAAAGAAAGAAAGAAAGAAAGAAAGAAAGGAAGGAGAGAGAAGGATACTTGGAAAAACTATGTGATCTATTTTCCCTAAAAAGGGTACAAAAGAGCAGGAAAGATTACATTGTACAGCTCTGGGAGTAAAAGCATTGGGATCATAGCACTGGGAGTAAGAACACGGGGAGCAAGGACGTTGCTACATCAGAGCAGGAGGAGACAGCAAGATTAGGGGAATGCAGAGTAGAATAACTTAGAAATTACAAGGCAACATACAAAATTAAGAGAGTAATATGCAGAATGCAGAGGGAAAGAGGAAAAAAAGAAGAAGCTGCAGAGGGAGCAGGCAGGCTTCTCCTTATCATGGGACAGAACAGGTCTTTTCTTAATAACAAGGCAGGCCTAGTCTTACTACAGAGGACGAAGCTTTCTTCTTAATGACTCGGGTTTAATTCATTTAGCAGTGAAAGGGTAGAAGCTTTTTCTCTCTATGCAATAAAGACTGGAGCTCATTCTTCATCCAGAATGAGCGAGTTCCTTCTGCACTGGTGCTTGGTCTTTTGCTCCATATGCTTGTGTAAGTATGGATGTGTGTGTAAGAATGTAATTGTGAGAATGTATGTACACTGGACCCAACTGGTTTCAATGGAGATGTATAAATGCATATGCATGAACCTGTACACAAATTTATGTGAATTTATTTTTCTAGCTACTTGGTCACAATGAAGGACAAGCAACTAACACAGCGTCCCATTGTTCTGAGAAAATTTCACAGGATCACAGAATTCCCACATCCTGAGGCTGGGTGTGGTCGCACACACCTTTAATTCCAGAGATGGATTTCTATGAGTTCAAGAACAGCCTTGTCTACATAGTGAGTTCTAGGACAGTCAGGGCTCTTTAGAAAGACAATTTCTCCAAAACAATGTAAAACAAGACAAGACAAAACAAAAACAATCCCCCTAAACCTAACTACCTGAGGAAGACATGGTCCATGTTCCACTTTACAGACATGACTACTAAAACAGATGGTCAGAGGATGTAACTAAGCTTACACACTGCCATGGTCTTGCCGGCTAGAAAATCAAGAGATATCTATCCCCTAAACAGCCCAGCCAGTCTTCACTGGAGTCTGGCCTGTATACCTTTAAGAGAATCCACATGCTCTCTTTAGAGCTTCTGAGCTTGAGGTCTGTCCCAGTCACAACAGTAAATGAGTCAATTAGGTGTATTTATGACTTTTCATTAGTCACTTAATGTCACAATGCCCCAGCTTTCTTTCTTCCCTTTCCTTCTTCCTTCCTTCCTCACTTTCTTCCCTTCTTTCTTTTTTCCTTCCTTCTTTTACTGCGCAGGCGAACACATCGGCCCATGTGGCACAGTGTGCACTTGGAGGGGAATGGACAACCTGACAGAGTCCTCTCCATCATGTGGGTCCAGGGATTGATCTTCCAGTTACCCTGCTCGTTGGCAGGCACCATTACCTGTTGAGCCATCTTGCTGGCCTCCCCAATCCTTTTTAAAAATAGTTTCATGAAGTTCAGCCTGGCTTCAAATTTATTATATAGTTGAGGATAGCCTTGAACAACTTCTTTTCTTTTACCTTTAAGTACAGGATTACAAGTGCAGTTCACATGGTGCTGGGATCAAATCCAAGGCCTTGACCCTTGTAGGCAACACACCAATTCAGCTATGTTCCCAACCCCCAGTTTGCACATGTGGAGAAAACAACAATGGGACTAGTGAGGTTATCTCTTTGTAATCATTCTGTGAATAAGCCAGGCATGTATGCTGTGTCAGATGAGGGGCCCGACATTGGATAACCCCCCTGCCCAAACCATTAAGAGCCACACGAATAAGAAATTGTCATACGTCCACATGTGTCTAGGCTGAGCACAGCATCTAGACTCTCAGGTGCCAAGAATACAGGAACAGTGAGATCTGCTTTCACCGGGGAAGGTCACCACTCCAAGGGCAAGGACCCCCTTGTGGACTCTAACCCTCTGGAATGTGAGTCTCCATTAAACGCTTTTGAAAAAACAAGTTATCTTGGTCACGGTGTTTGGTCACAGTAATAGAAAAGTAACTAAGACATCTGGGATACTAAGAATAGGTGACAAAAATTCCAGGGTGCAGAGCAACTGTTAGCTCTGTGGCTTTCCTCCCTAGGCCCCTGCAGTCAGCTGGCCCCTGGCCTTTGCCTGGCAGCGGGCCCTGGAGAGGAGGGCGGGGCTGGTTGCTAAGGTTTCAGGTGGTGCAGATCCGGAAGCAGGAAGCAGTGTGAATCCCCAGGACCTACCTGGCTTGAGGGAGAGAGTGCCACTAGAGGCAGGTGGGCGCACTGGAAGCAGCCTTGCTAGGGAGAGAGGAGGTAATGGGATGCTGGGTGGGTTGGGGCTGCCCAGGTCAGGGTCAGCGTGGGGGCCACAGGTCTAGGGGAGACAAACCGGTCTGTGGAGAAGATGGTGGGGAGAGGTTGCTGGGTCTGGAGCAGAGGGAATGGGGGGACAGTGCAGAAGGCTGAGGAGAACAGGGGGGTCAGGGGTCATCTCAGGGTAGGGTCAGACTGTGTACGGCCTGAGAGAGGCCTGGACTGAGGTGGCCCTTTGGGGGGGTGGGGCAGGTAGCTGAGATGGGACTTTCTGCTGATGAGCTGAAGCGTGAGCTGGAGGCCACTGCAGAGGAAGTACTGGGGAGGCTGAGGAGCCGGCAGCTGTTCCAGTCTGAATGGGACATCGCTGCCTTTGTGGTCTTTCTCACGTTTGCGGGTGAGTGTGGCTCCTGATCCAAGGCGCCCTACCCTGGTGTTAGGGCAGGGCCACATTTGGGTGCCTCTCTGTCTGGTCTCCAGGCACTGTGGTGTTGTTGCTGCTTCTGGTTATTGTCCACTGCTGCTGCTGCTGCTGCTGCTCCCCCAGGCCCCGGAAGGTGAGCCCCGGGAAGGTGAGCCTGGGAAGATGAACTTAAGGTGGGGTGTGCCCCTCAGAGAGGAGGGCTCCCATAGAAGTTGCCCTCACAGCTGCACCGGGGTGGGCGGGCAGGGCCTTGTGGAGAGGGTTCAGGCAGGGCTTCCGAGTCTTACCTACTGGGCCCTTCTGTTTCTCTTGCAGGAAAAGCCTAAGGGCGTGGACAACTTGGCCCTGGAACCTTAATGCTAGCTTGCCCTTGGCATGGGCCCTCCTGGATCACAGTAACAGAGCCATGTTTGCTAAAGCCTGAGTCTGGATTGTGTTGTAATCATGCCGGGGGCAGTGTGGTGGCTCTCACCATGATGTGCCCGCCCATGATCCCTTTTACAGTCTGAACTTCCACTACCCCACGGGGCGCTCTGCAGCCTGGACACAGGCTGTGATGTTGGCATTCAAGAGGCTGAGGCAGGATTATGAACTCCACCTCAAAGGCGGAACTGAAAATCAGGGCATGAGAACACGGGAGACCATGGGTCACCAGGGACCTTCAACTAATCTCTACTAAGTAGGGAGGCAGACAGACAACAGGGCTCCAGTTAACATCTGATTTTTATTTCTTAGAGGTGGGTTGAGGTCACAGAACCAATGGTCCCAGTACTGCACCTTATTTACAGTGAGGCTTCTCCCCCGGCCCAGGTCCCTCTTTCCTCCTCCACTTCACAGCTTAGTTGTAACCCCATCCCTCACTCTCTAATGGGAGCTGAGGGTGGGAGAGGGGAGGGGCCTGGGCTTGGTCCCACCCTTAGTCCAAAGGTTCCTGGAGTGTCCAGGAAGGCAGGGTTAGGAGCATGGCCACACCTCTGCCCATCTCCTTGATTGTCCCCCCCAATCAAAAAAACCCCTTTCCCCAGGTGCCTCTCATATTTACTTCCATCAGTACCACAGAGTAGTGAGGAAGGAGAAAAATAACTCGGGGGGGGGTGCCTGACAGTGATAGGCACCGCAGGGGTATGTGGTATGTGTTGGGAAGAGGGACCACAAGTCAGGGCTACCCCCCCTGGGAGGAGGATTCAGGCGGGTGCTTGCTCAGAAGGGCCGGGAGCTCCAGTAGCTGGAAAACACAGAAATCTGCGGGGGGGGGGGGGAGAGGAGGGGAGATGGTGGTGGTCAACAACAGGTTCCGTAGGGTGTCCACTGGCTTCAGGGGCGTAATCAGGGGGGTGCTATAGGTGTGGTTTCTGGGGTGCTATACCCACTAGAACCTAAGTGAGGTGTTAGGGTTACAGGAGGGGACTGTGTCTGGGAACTGTTGCCCGATGACTGGTATGCACGGTCTAGTGGTCTTTACAACCTGGGGGCACTCAGGAAGTGTGGAGCCCCCCGAACGGCCCTGCTCCCCTGCCCTGCATGCCCTGGACACACCTTATCCTTGAGCTGCTGGCAGAGCTGCAGAGAGACAGTGAAGTACACCAGGGCGTCGTTGAGCCAGGGGATCACACACTCTACCTTGTGGACGTGGCTCACCTCGAGGCGCTGTGAGCCCCACTCACTGGGGGAGAAGAAGAAGTGGATCCTGAGGGTAGGCCTGGACCCCAGACCCCAAGAGGAGAGGGGGGAGGAGAGAAGGGGATTTAGGACCCCTTCCTGTACACTTACAACATGGCCCCAGGGCTGTGGAGTACCGCACCTCCGGAGGGGCGGAAGTTCTAGGCAGAAACAGCAGAGTCCTTGAGGTCTAGGTGGAGGGTCCTTGGCAGCATTGGTGTGGGGGCGCTGGGGGGTGGGGAGGACTATACCTTGGTGGAGGTGGGCTGCAGAGTGTGCAGCTGGTACACCGTGAGGCACAGCTTGTTGAGATTGATGTAGACATTGACCAGCAGGTCAGAGGGTAGGGTAGGTGCAAACATCCGCTGGAGGAGGCAGGAGGGATGAGACCCTCTCCAACTTTAGGCTGCACTGCTACAGGGTATGGAGTTACGGGGGGAGGGGGTAGCCCAGTCCCACCTCTAGGGGCTTCTCCATAGGCTGGGGCACCAGAGGCTTCCCATCATCTCTATGTGCTGGCTGCTAGGTTGGAAGCCACTGGCTGTAAACCGGGTTAACATATTGGGGGCAAGATGCAGGCTAAGAACCCAACCCAGAAAACTGCCCAGGCCCAGAAGTCCCTCTGGCTGGACCTCTCAGTAGAGACTTCTTTCTTGGGGTAAGGACTGTCTGAGGTACTGACCGTGAGGCCACTGGCAGCAATCTCCGGCAGGGTGAGGGTGGCTGGGGTAGTGAGCCGGTTTCTGGCTCTTGTCAGTTGCAGCATAACAGCATCCATGAGCTGGAGAGGGGCCGGCAGCCACTGCTACTTGGGTAGTACCAGTTGGGGTCCCCCATGTCCCAGCCCCTAGCACCAGCAAGCAACATCTGTAGCTTCTGTTTTTGCCAGGTAACCATGGTTCCCAGGTCTAAACTCTGCAGCTCCACAGATGCTGTAATCCAGGTCATAAGCTAATATATGTGGCCAGAGCTGTGAGTCATGTCTGGGGAAGGAGCAGGTTCTAGAGAAGCCTGGGGACATAGAGCTGGCACTGTTCAGGGTAAGGTGCTAGGATGGGAAGGGTACCTTGAGGACCTCCGCTCCTGTCTTGAACTGGTAGCTCTCGTCCCGGTTTGCTAGGAGGTAAATAGCTTGGCTCACGTGGTTCCTGGCATCCTGGATCTGGAAGCAGTCCCACCACCCACATAACCGGAGTCTGTCAGTTTCAGGGAAGCCACATTTCTGGGTCTTCAGCCTGACCCCAGAACATGGGGCCCCACTTGAGAGGCTGACCTCCCAGGAGAGGGTGGTACCATCTGTGGTCTTGATAACCTCCAAAGTATTTGAACCTGGATGGCCAGGTCCTGGACAATCATAGCAGCCAAGACATGCTGGCTCTTGGCCCTATGTAGTTACTGCTCAAAAGACAAGCCCTAGTACACCCATAAGGTAGTAAGTGTGCAGGGCTCAAGGGAAGAAGCGAATGTGTCCAGGGAGAAGCAAGAGGGCAGATGTGTGAACCAGCTTCAGATCAGGGTGTGTGTGTGTGTCTGTGTGTACATGCCCCATGTGTGTCACATGGCCTATGGATAGGCAGGTGGCTTATGCATGATTTAAGGTACATGGGAAGCCCCTGTTAAGTGACATTCAAAGGGACCTTCAGCTGTCCTCACATGGCCAAAATCACAAAGTACGGCAGGTTTCACATCCCTAATGTGGAACAGGCTCTGGCATCCCAAGGCACCAGCTCCCTAATTCTGCTGTTTGCTGTGGTCCCAAAGTCCCAATTGCTAAACTTCTCTGGGGAGGCCTTAGCTTGGGCCTGCCCTGGGGCCTGAGCCCAGGTTGGGCAGTGGACCTCACCTGCTGTAGCTTCCACTGCTTGTCCTCCCGGAAAGCGAAGTGCAACAACTGGTTGTTCCGAGGCATCTTCAAGTTCACATCCTATGAGCCGGCAATGCAGTGGGTGGGTGGCTGAGGGCCCAGGCCCCATGCCCCAGGGAGATAAACAGGAATGTCAAGAAACAGGAACTCAGATCCAGCAAGAACCACAAAGTGGTGAGAGGGGAAAGAAGCTGAGAAAGGAGAAGGGCTATCCCTGGGCCTTGAGACCTTAGCTCAGAGGGTGGCTGATTCAACTTTGATGTGCGGCCAGCCTGCCTAGGCTTCCAATGTCTGTATTTCACAGAGTCCAGATGCCAAGCTGAACTAAGTGTAAAGCCACCGGCTTCTTGTCCCTCCCTGAACCTATCTAATGGGGTAGTGTGAGGGTTGCCTGTCACGTTACAGACATACAAGGAAACAGGTTAGAGAAGACAAGGATCAGACCCAGGGCCACACAGCCAGCTGGTGGCAGAGCTAGCCATCACCATCCTTGTCACTAGCAGGACTGTTGGGGGATAGGGCCCCGGGGGACTCACCGCCTGGCTGAGGGCATCCCCTTGCAGAGTCAGCACCCCTTTCACCTGGTCAGTGCTGTAACACACAGGAGTCAAGAGGGATGCCTGCTACTGCTCCCTCCCCTTGCAGCCTGCCCCACAGTACCATGGGCATTTCCTCCCCCAGGTATACACCCCTTCCAAAGGCTCCTGTTCAACCCAGCTCACCCACAGCTGCCCAGGATGAAGTTCTCCTGCTTGGCAGGACCCTCGGTGCTGGGGCCTGGGAGAGTGAAGCGGAGAGAGGCCTCCTGTGGAAGACAGGGCAGTCCCCACATCTCCCCTCAGTCTGGCCAGCGTTCCATTCCAAGGCCTAGATACTTTGCCGATTAGCCTGGGAAGGGGCAAGGAAGGCAGGCCTGGCCTGGCTCCTCTGCCTTTATCCTACCAAGCCTCCAAGATTCTGTGAACTCAGTCCTGTTCATTCCAGTCCTGAGTATGTCATGAGCAGGCAGGCAGGTGGGAACACAGAACAGAGAGGCACAGAACCTAGCTAACTGGAGCGCTGTGATATATGTTGGGAGCAGAGTCACAGAATCACAATCAGTAGTCACAGTAACATGGTTTCCTAGGTCGCTGTCCTAAGCATTTTTGAGATAGTTTATTTATCTTTACATCAGCTTTGTGAGCCTGGTTAGGGTAAGGGAACAGGCGTAGTAATCCGGAAAATTTGGCTGAGATCACATCAGAGCTCGGATCATCAGTTTTTGTTTTGAGACAAGTGTTTCATAATGGAGCCTAAGGCTGGCTTCTAACCCGTGAATCTCTAACCTCACTCTTCCCAGTGCTGAAATCACAAGCTTTCACCACCACCTTGCTTGCTCACAGATGACATGTCAATTTCAAAGATAGTTCACACTCAAGACCTGGTCTAAGACCTTGACTGACACACACTGCTTGTGTAATTACACGCCACCATGCCTGCATCTGGACTGTACTCTTAGAAGTGGTAATCTGAACAGGCCACGCTCAGCAGCCGCGGTGAGCGATTCGCAGGACCCCGTGGATAGGAAGTATGGCAGGCCGGGCGTTACCTTGAGGATGTCCTGCAGCTGCCTCAGCACGGCGTGCACCTCAGCGTGCAGCAACCAGCGAAACTCCTCCTCCTGCGGAGAGCGTGGCATCAAACCCATCTCGTTCCCGTTGCCAGTCGGCTGGCCGCCCCCCGCCCTCAGCCCGCGTCCCACCAGTACTGCCCGCTCCGCGGCGCTCGCAGCCATCGCGGTCGCCATCGTCCTGACCGCGCGCTGTCTCTGAGGTCTGTAGTCAGGAGCTTGGCGTGCAGCGCCCGCCCCTTTTTCTCCTCCTCCTGTGACCGATTGGCAAACCGGGCACAAACTCCACCCCCAAGCCAGGGGCGTCTCAAGCGACTGGCTGCAGCTTCCATTCCTGGCTGTTAAGTGGCTAGGCGAACAGGTCACGCTTAGTCTTCTACCCGCCCGCCTCAACCAGTTCCTCGGCAGGGGCGGGACGCTTTGGCTACCAACCTAGCCCTACTACTCACTGATTGGCCGGTGGGGCCGTCCATCACCAAGTTGTCCCAGTATTGTCCCGTCAGGCGGCGCCCGCCCAGCAGGGTTGCACGGGCAAAGAATCAGGTGGGTTGGCTCCTACCTAGGTTCCTAAAGCACTTGGGCACAAGTGGCACAGCTATGGTACCAAGAAATGTTTTATTTTTTTTCTTGCAGTAGCTTTGTTAATTGCACAAAATCATGTTTTGTTTTTGCCATTTAAACATTATCACACAATCCTATTCTGAAAGACAAATGTTCATCAAAAACAAAGTGAAAATAAAAATTCACAACCTTAATCACCTAGATTTGTCATTTTAAAGGAAAAGAGGGAGTAGGGGCTTTCTTACAAGCATTTTCACAATGTCACATTTTCTCCATAAAAGGAAAGGATTTCAAAATGAAAGGTGAAATAGCTTAAACAGAAATAGTCATAAAAAGGAACTTTACAGAATTGTCAACAATATTAAGACAACATTGACTAACCGGTTTCCTTACAGCATCTTCCCCACCCCCAACCCCCAGGACCAAGACAGGCTGTGTCCAACAGAGACTGTTCAGCATCCCAGTGAATGAGCAATTGTGCTGAACTCCACAAGCACTCCCTGCTCCATGCCCACATCCTGAGATCCTTATCCCAGGTGGAAAAATCAAATCGTGGCTTTGGAATTTGGAAATCCAAACTCATGAGGAGGAAGGCTTCTTCAGGGGATTCCTCTCATGTGACATTCTAAGCCTCTCTGGTCCCCTCTTCAAGGAGAAATGCTAGGGCCTGGCAGAGGACTGGATCCAACTGAGGGGCAGTTAGAACAAGGCCCCAGTTCAAGTCTGTCCCAAAAACCCCAGGACTTGGAACCACTGATACTGGCAGAAGTTATCAGTGAGGTTCCTCATCAAAAGCCCAGCCTGTGAAATGCTCATCTGTGAAATGCTCATTATTGGTGTTGGTCAGGCTGGGGCTGGGTCAAAAGAGGATGGGACAGAAATACTTTCTCCATGGAAGGATAAGGGGAAGAGGGGCATGCAGGGGACCTGTGTAGAGCAGGCTGAATAGGTAGCCCACCCAGCTCAAGAGACTGCCATAACGGAAACAGGAAGGAGCCACCCCCTCACTCACTGCTCTCAGTGCCCTAAGACCCCTTCTCATGGGCTGGAATGCAAATCCAAATAAAACCTCCTGGGAGGAACCAGCTCCAGTTACAGAGACAACAGCCAGGGAGCTGAAGACTGTAGACTCTGCTCCCCCTGAAGAGGTGTCTAGGTGGCCACGCTGGTCTCTCTTCAGTTCACAGAGACATTCTGCCAGCTGCTGCATAATGGTAGTGTCTACAGGAAAATCCTCCTCAGCTGGAGGTCCACAGAGCCTGCTCAGGGAATCTGCTGGTTCATGATGGCTGAGGGGCCTCTCCTTTCATAGGTCCAGTGGGGACCTTGGACCCTCTGCCAGTCTCTGTCCTGGGGAAGTTGTGAGAAGGCTTCCTGTGCTCCCTGCCAATTCTAGTCCCTCTACTCTCTTGCCCAGAAGGGGGCAGAGATAAGACAAGCTTGCAAGAACAGCCAGGCAGCAGTTTCTGGACAGCTTCTATCCTGGGTGTGTGTGTCTGTGTGTGTGTGTGTGACAGAGACAGAGAACACGAGAAACAGAGAGAGAATACACAGGCTCCTGTTCCAGGGCCAATCAATGCCCAGCTCAAGAGCTTCTTCACAGCCACCTGTGGAGATAGATCCTCTTATCCCTGGCCAGGGCCTCAGGGAGGGAGGGTGCTGCTGTGTACTGTGCTGATGCAAGTCTCAAAGTCTGTATAAAAGGACACGGAGGCAGGTGACTGGTCCAGAGCTAAGTCCCAGAACCCTGACCCCACACTGCGGAGGGCGGTCAGAGGGAAGGTGGGAGGGTGGACGGGCAGGCAAGGCTTAGTGTATGTAGGCTCGGTACACGGCAGACATGTCATTGTCAGACTGGTCCAGGGCCTTGGCTCTTTTGTATACCTGAAAAATAAAATAAAATAAAAAAAAAGAAGAGGTAGAGGTCGTTCTCCAGCTACAAAGCTACTGTGTGAAGAGTCCTGATTCCTGGAGGCATTTCTAGATGGGTCTAGCCTGTTGGTGAGCAGGCAGGATTGGAGCTTGAGGTATGTATGAATGCTGATTTGATGTGAGGCAAACACCCGAGCCTGTGGGCTTCTGCCACAGCCCCATCTGAAGGAACTATCTGTCACAACCCTCAGGGCTTTATTGAGAGGACTACACTTACTCAGACATGTGAAGTGCTCAGTGCTGTTAGAGGAGTCAAGGTGGCAGCCCTCAGTCCAGTTTTCTGAGGATGTTTTATTAGCCCCAGGATCACTGTGCCCTACTTTCTTTAAAAATGGCTGGCACCTCCCAGCCAACTTTCCAAAGGCTCCTTTGAGCTCCTCATCAGCACAGCAGCTGTGCCCTTTGAGGGACCAGCTACCTCTGTTTTATTACCTTAGAGCCTACATACACTATTGTATTTGTTTTATTCAATTTTAAAATTTATTTTTTTTATTTCACGTCTGTTTGCCTGCATGTATGTCTGTGCATCATTTGGGTGCCTGGTGTTCTGAGGGGCCAAAAGAGGAGTTTGGATCTCCTAGAACTAGAGTTACAGATGTACACGATCTGTCATATGGGTGCTGAATTTGAACCCGGGCCCTCTGGAAAAGCAGCTGGTTCTTTTAAATCCTGAGGCATCAGCCACAGTGTTTGGGTTTTCTTGTTGAGACAAAGCGTTTCTTACAGTCTACAATGACCTCAGGTTTGTTTTTCCTTGTATCTTCTTACTATGAAGCTCCAGCTCTCCTAGAACTATATCATGTCTGGCTTATGACTATTGTTTTAAAGTCAGTTTGTAGCCCTGGCTGGTTCATTATGTAGACAAGGCTTTCCTCTAACTCACTGATTAGATTTGCATCTGCCTCCCTCCTGAGTTTTGGGATTAAAGGTGCCATTGATTTTTTTTTCTTCCCGAGACAGGGTTTCTCTGTGTAGCCCTGGCTGTCCTGGAACTCACTCTGTAGATTAGGCTGGCCTAGAACTCAGAAATCTGCCTGTCTCTGCCTCCCAAGTGCTGGGATTAAAGGCGTGTGCCACCACCACCCAGCTGCCACTGATTTTTATGTATATGGGTGTTTTGTCTGTGTCCGTGCACACTTTTAACTGCTGAACTTTTTCTCCAGCTAAGGCTCCTCCAAATGGTATTTATTATACTCTTCACAGTCTTTACTTCTTTAAAAGCTCCGAGCTTATTTTGTGTTTCTTTCCGTTAAAATGTAAGTGACATGGAGACGGGAGGAGCTGCCTGTGTCCCAGCATGTCCCAGTACCTAGAGCAGGGCCTAGCCATACAAGCCATCCAAGACTCTGGTCACTGCATGAAAGCTTGAAAAGAATCAAAGCCACTGTGTGCAAGGCAACAGGGCACCCAGTTTTGCTGAGGCAGTGTGCAGCTGATCAACCTAAGCAGAGGCACATAAAGGAGAGTACACCCAGCTCTGGCATACCTGTTAACCCATGATGAAGGCTGAGTAGCGTTCTAGACTGAACACCAAGAACATCATCACAGGCAGGAATGTGATAAAAAATGTTTTTTGTTTTGTTTTGTTTTTTTTGAGACAAGATTTCTCTGTGTAGCCCTGGCTGTCCTCGAACTCAGAGGTCTGCCTGCTTCTGAGTGCTGGGATTAAAGCCATGCACCACTCCATTTAGCTTGATAAGAAATCTAGTCTTCCAGATGAAATGAATAATACTGGGAAACCTAATTTTTAACAAGAAAAGAAAGATGGAAAGAGCTATCTACAGGAACTAGCTGAGAAACTACAGTTACAAATGAGTAGGTGGCAAAGTGAGTAAAGTGGTTGTGTTTCTTTCTGGTTCATGCAAATTGGCACAGGATAAATTCTGAGGAGGCCATTAAGTTAATTAAGGGTATCTACTCAATACTGACAACAACCAAGTACTGTGAAGAAGCCAATAAAATATGAATAAAAAGGAAATTCTACCACACACACACATAACCTTAGAGAAGATGAAAAAGAAGGAACAGAAAAAGACAGGGACTGACAGAAAGAAATGCTAAAAGGGCAGCTCCAAATCTGTTTTTCAATACAGCGGCAACAGGCTAGTGGAGCAAGCAGCCAGTCTTGGGAGCCTGTCCTCAGGGTCTGCACAGTGAAGAGTCTGAACTCACATGATCCAGGGATTTCACAGTCCAGGTTCCACTGTGAAATGAACTCAAGCTCTGCTTCCAATGTACGCTGCAGAGCCAGAGCAGAGGCAACCTGGATCCACCAAAAAGCTCTCCCAGCACAAGCCTACAAAGAACCCTTCAAAACCATATCTAAGAGGAGTTTTATGAAGAAGCTGCAAAATACAAAAGGAATTCCCTGCCAAATTAAATAGGGGCTGCAGGACTGGCTCAGTGGTCTGGGCCACTTGCTATCAAGTTACCTCATTGGCTGCAGCTGCCATGGGAGTGGGGTGGTTGACTGCATCACCCAATGCAATGGCCAGGCGGAGATCCTTCTGAATGTATTTCAGGTAGAAGTCAGGTTTAAAGTTTCCTTGTAGGATATCTGAGAAGGGAAAGCCATTTATCAGAAGTTCAAGGATCTACATGAAAATTGCCTGCAGAGTATCAGGCTCACCTCCAGCACTTCCAAAGGGCGCAGCCCTGTTCTTCCCCATGTCCAAAAGACTCAGGACCCACACTGGGGCCTCAAATACCATTTTCACTGTGTATTTGGGCCTCCACTGACCTGGGCAAGGACTGAGTGCAAAGGGGGCTCTTTAAACAAACAAATGAACCATGAAAGGACTCTCTTTCCTGGATGGTCTTACCCAGCTGCTCAGCTCTAATGAAAATAAAGTTGCAAGAAGAGAGGTCAAAGGTGACT